ATAAACTGTAATTGCATAGTCAGTTCCATTACATTTTTTGTGGAACAAACCTTATTTTGAGATCTGGTCTCTGCTCCTCTGTTAGTGGCTGCATTACATGGAATCTGACTCTCAAAAGATATTGATGTGCTACATTTCCAAGCTCCAGTCATGCCAGACTGACTTTCCTTCATGTCAAACAGTGTGAAGGTTTAGTTTGCTAATTCTGTAGTGCTGGATGGACAGGGGAATTAAGGACCAGTTTGTCAAGCTTCACTTGAAGAATATACCCAGATTACAGTGTGCCAGCCCAGCAGGGCCAAAAATCAGGCGCTCCCCCTCCCAAACCCCCCAAACCAGTGGAAACTATACCACAAAGGAGCAATGTTTTGGCAGCTGTGATCTTGTACTAGCCCAGAAGTTTTAGATCACTTGCCAATTATGTAGCAAAATAAAGTATCTTTAGAAAGACTTAAGAGTCCTACCATCTTCATTTATGCCGAGATATGCATTTAGTTACGCACACATACTTAGCTAAGGCCTTCAGCCCACCGCAGAACAGGAAAACCTAGGTCCATCCCTCAGATCTTAAATAACTTTGAAACAAATTCAAAAGACAGAAATACTACTATGTGTAACCAAATACACCATATAGCGCTATTCAGTTGTACAGAGCATACACCATAAACGCTACGTTACCTTTTTCACATAGTGGGAAAAAAGAGCATCTTGGAAAAAGGAAGTTGACAGCAAGTGCCCGAGTTACGGTTAGGTCCTTCCTTTGATCCACTGGGTCTCCCTGCAGGCTATTTTCAGTACAGTAATTCCGTTGTCATGAGATGGAAAGTTCAGGTTTGCAATTGCCACTCTAAAACGCACAGACATGTAAGGCAATGAGAGTTAGTGACAAGATAACCTACTGCACGCATGACTTCATAAGGTAGCTATTTTAATATGAAAATAGATTTAATAATCACATGTTATAGGACTGAATAAATAGCTACAGTGAGAAATTCTAAGTTAAAGTTAACTTCTTAGGTGTTAAAGACGACAAAAATCTGCCACGCCAGTAGGGAGAGGAAAAAAGAAAAACAATAGCTAACCCTCTCCCCACCCCCTCCCCCTAAAAAAGCAAAAAAAAAAAAAACCCAAACAATATGCTAGCCTCTTGCAGGGAAGCGAATAAAACTACAAACATTTTTTTCTCCTACATTAGCTAACGTGTACATTCTGAGGAACTCATTGACACAAGATGTTGAGATTAAAAAGCTCAGTAAAGTTCAAGGAAGCGCTGGACACATATAATAGGCTCATCCATACTTGTCTGTACTGTCAACACAAAAACATTCTACTGCTCACCTCTATTTATGCAAACTAAGACGAAGAGTTACATTCTAGGAAAAAGTCCCTTATACATAAGCTACTATTAAGTCATGAGGCTTCTTCTGTAAAACTCTGCCTTTTAGCAACTGCCACAGTACTGGACTAGAATAATGTAACTTGTGCTTATTTATCATAAACTGCTTTAAAACAGGGGAAAGAACTTTTGCACACTATGGGCTAGATTTTGTCCTCTCTACTTAACTCAGAAGCTGGATAGTGTCTAAATTGCTTTTTTTTTTTTTTTTTTTTAAATACGGTTTCCATTTGTTTATTAGCAATTTATTCTTCATGAGTCAACATTATAAATCAAGAACAATTGTTTCTTCTGATAATTAAGGATAACTTCTATCATAGGTTAACCTACAATTACTATTCAGTTTGTTCATTAATTTATCTGGACTACTGCTGCCCTAGTATCTCGAACCAAAGAACTTCCCTTGAAACAGATTCTATTAGTATGAATAAGCACTTAAAAGTGTTTTTCCCCCCAAAATAGTAGTTTTGGTAAAATTTACAATATTTTCTTGCAAATCAATTCCCAAACTTTCAAAGTGCAATTCACATTTACTTCCCTCACTCATTAATTCAGGGTTTTGTACCTTTGTTTAGGATGAGCTGTTTCTTTGCTGTGCATGATGACGTGTGCATTGTCCCCTGAGGAAAATGCCTTTGACATTTCAGTAGAGGAAAGACTGCAAGTGACAACTTCAAATTTGAGTAAAGGCAATAAGCTGTGGGAAAGTTGCCAAACTTCTACATGACGTACTTCATGATTGCTCTAGGAGGCTGAGTCTTCCTCGTGAGAAGACAAAGGACATAAGTTGGACATAATGAAGAGTGCTTCATTAGCTTTCCTTGGAGGATGCCCTGAGTGAATATTGATGATGCCATTGTCATTGATAGTTCACTGAAGGAGAAGTGTTTGTACTGAGCATCCAGCACCAACAGTGAGATCATGCATCAAATCAGACCTAATTACTGCCTGGAGTTTTGGAACGAAGAGTTGCATGACTCAGATGAGAAGAGAGAATTCCTCTCTAGCTACTTATTTCTCTCAGAGGGAAGCACAGGGAATGAAGCGTATATAGGTTAATTCTGCAGAGATGTTCTTTTGTCATATTCACTAACTTTAGGAAAAAGAAGATCAGAAAAATGGGTCTTATAGTTCAGACACCTGCAGTATATGTTCCGAGTCAATACTGGGCCTCCCTGTACACACAGGATGATAGAAAAGTTTAGGTTGGAAGGACCTCTGGAGGTCAGCTGTCCTTGCCTGCTTCTGTAGTCAAAGGAGGGCCAAATCTGAAGTTACATGGGGAGGCTCGGGGCCTTCTCAAGCTGAGTTTTGAGCATCTCCAAGGAAGGAGAGTCCACAGCTGCTCTGGACAACCTGTTGACCATGCATGTGTACATGTGAGAGCACTGCACTCATATACCCGCTGCCTTTGAATTAGATAGGCAGTGGAAACCCATGTGTTATTGCTGCTGCTAATTTTAAAATAGTTCTAGGAGCCACAGAATTTACAGTATGAAAATTAATCTTCAATACGAAACATTAATAAAGAAAAAAAGGAAGCAGATAAGCTCATTCATATTGCAGTTTACAATCATCATGCAATTAGAAATAGTGAAAGAACATTAGCAGTATCACAGTATTTTGAACAGCATTTGAACACACAAAAGTTTGATTCAGAGAGGCAGAGAAGAAAGTTACTGAACCTCTATTTATTATCAACCTGAGCATGAGCCATCTTCTAATCACCTAAAGGAAAGAAAAATATCATAAACACATACTTTTTACAATATAAAACTATCCAGTGAGTTCTTGCTCCTTGAGATGAAAAGTAAAATTATAAGGAAATGATAAGAAGATATAAAACATGGAGGGAAGAAAACAAAGACTAAAGTTATGAGATTACACATTATACATGGTAGCCATTGCGTTAGCATCAAATAAAAGCAAAAAGCAAACAAAAAACAGTAGACAAGTGGAACTGAAAGAGGTCTTCCAGTCTATAGTGAGGGACCCACATTTAATACTGACCAAGGTAGTTTATATGTATCAAGCAAGTCTCCAGATGGAAGCTGTACTTTCTCTGCCAAGACAATTCTCTAGGGCAACATTGGAAGAGGCCTTCTCAAATAAATAGATGTAAAACACTACAAGAAAAATTACAAGAGGAAAAAAAAAAAAAAAAAGAAGAGAAAAATCAAACTCCACTAACTTTTTCTTTGTTAATTAACTAGATGTTTTAACTCCCCCTCTGCTTTACTTCTTCTGGTGCAAGTACCCCCAGCACAACACAACAGCACAACACATCCATCCATCTCACAAAAGGGGGGGGGGGGGGAAAGGGGGGGGCGTTTTATTTCATATCATATCAGATGCTTTGCGTCAAGCCTGCTAAGGCTCATAAATCAGCTGTCTTAGTGCCCTGGTCATTTCAACCAACGTCTGACCCTTTCGTTAACTCATGATTTATAACTGGAAGTTACTTTTTTTATGCCAGATTTATAAACTTTACTGTGCTTGGTTTGATATAATATCCATTTTGTACACCAAGCAATAAGACAGTAAATTTATTGTCTATGAACTGTTACCTTGAAAAATTACATCAATGCAAAGTGGTTTCCATTTAGAATCAATGGGCAATAAATTCATTGCATTTTTTTTGAAAGTGGGGGAGAACATGATGATATTTATGAGGTCATGAGCGGCTATATAACGGGTGAAACTGGGAGCAGAGGCACCAGTCAGACAGGAGTTCCGAGTTAGGGGGTTGACAGAGACGAAATACATTCAGCACAGCAATGATGCATAGGCTGGCATTCTGCTGTCTCATTATTATCAGCTTCTCCTGTCCTCTCTTGTCTGTCCCCATCGTCAACACCAGTGAGATGTCTTATCAGCTCTCAGGTAAGTCTTTTGCTTTTAGTGGTCATAAAGCTTAGCAGGGGATGGGGCAAGAAAGCCGGGGGAGAAGCAGATATTCTTTCAGAAGGCACCTGTATCTGTGTTGATCAGCTGTAAGAAAAGCATCATCCGTATGGCTTCAGAACACTGGCAGCACAAGTGATATTATTGCTGTGTGCTAGTGTTATAAAACCAGGAGATTGGGCTCCCTATATATTTCTTGCTGCTGCTGCTTTCAGACCCAGGATACAAGGTATTTGAGCCTTCTAGCACCGAACATGAGCTGGTACACGCAGCGTCTGTCTTTGAGGCAGCATTAGCAGATTAGGTAATTTAAAGAAAACTTGGCTGTATGGTCTTACCTCTTGCTACACTTTAAAATGACCTAGGTTTTACTTAAGTTATCATTAAAAAGGGAGAAATCTACTGCAAAGATTAATGCAGTCCTACTTAGAGAGATCAAGAACAGGCCAGTTTGCCTTATGCTGCAAAAATAGCTATGTATTGAGAACGTTATTTGCTTGCACTAATGCAGATTCCATTCAGTTCAGTAAAAGAATAACTCTCTGCTTGAAAAAGCTGTCCTCAAAGTTTGAAATCATACTGTAAGTCAAGACTGAAATGTCTCTGTAAAAATGCACAGGAATCCAGAGGGCTGCTATCATCAGAACTGATATGTGCTGGAATAGTTCTGTGAAGTGAGTTCTGAAAGAACAGATAAATCAAAAGCTTATTCTTTTACTAAGCTGAGAAGGAAAAAGGAGCTCCGGTTACTTGCTTTGCTGGTGAAACAGCTGTTGCACAGGTTTACAGGTATCGGCAGTCCCTAGTTTGCTTCCTAAATCTTGGACTCACTAAACCAGCATCTTCTCAAGCCTTTCACTATGTAACTTGCCTTTACTAGCAGCCATGACTCAGTATGGATAACATCTATCACATTATAGGGTGAACAATCTGTCTCTAACCACTTATATATAGTGTGTTTGTTTGAAGGCATCCATTAGACTTATTAAATCTTCCTTGTTAATAAAAAGAGTCCCTAGGCTGAGTAAGACAGAAGTAGGACTCTCTAATATAGAGGGGTTTTTTTTTTTTTTAATTTCAAAGCAAAGTTGCCCAATAACACTTCTCCATGATAAAAAGAATATGAGGATGAAGATGTGAATTGTCTTTACATGGCACAGGGACGTTACAATATTTCTTACTTAGGAACTGAAATTTCCACTGTTGTCTTCAACTATCTTTTCGTACAACTGACAAACTAACAACGTTAATTGATTTCCAAGGTTTACAAATATCTTCATAGCAAGTTTCTGAAATGTTGTAGGATTATTTTTTCAGCAGTTTATTTTCTTGTGTAATTCCTATTGTGGAACTATACAGTCTAACCCACCCTCACAGGTAAGGGCAGCTAAAACTCTGTAGTATTATCTGAAAGTGTAACTACAAATTATCTTCATCTTCTCAGTCAGGGTTTGTTAATAGCTCCCTCTCACTGCCTGCTATTTTGAAGGTCTGCTATTTATTAGCAAAGGTGTAATTTACTGCTCAGATTATAAAAACTTCCTTTAGTTCAAACAGAACACCACTAAGGGCTCCTGTTGGCAACACGTCTTGAGGGTATGGGCTGGTCACAGGAAGATAGATTAAATCCTCTGCACGTATACAAATTAATTCCATGAGGTATCAGTAATCTGTTGTTTCAGAAACAGTAATAGTATCTGTAATGGTACATCCTTTGAATGTGAGAGATGATAAAGACGTACTGGGAAACATAGCTGGCAAAATCTATTTAAAGATTTCCAACATCTATTTTTCCCCACATTTTATTGCATACTTGGAAAATGGAGCAGATTAATAAGCCTGGAATATGAAGTTTTTGTCTTTTATCTGTGAAAAAGGTCCAGCACAGGAAGCAGTTGATAAAGAAATAGATTAAAAAAAAAAAAAAAGGTGAAACCTGGTATCTAGACCTGGTATCAGAAGCGATATCTTGCGAGTTGCCCACAAGTGGAAGGGGCTGCTCTTGGTCTAACAGCTCTCTTAACAAAAATCTACCAGATAAACAAGAATCTGGAGAGAATAACATCAGGAAAGTATCTTTACTCGAAGCTTTGGAAGGAAGAATACCCCCCCTTTTACATTCATTAAATAAGGATGGGTGACTGGTGATTTCATGATGCTCTTCAGCATATAGGGCCAAGAAGAAACCATTTCACACCGAGCAAAACAGGTATCTAAAACAAAAGGCTCTTACCATATGCCCGTTTACATCTTCTTCCACTTGCAGCCGATGAAGATTCCAGATTGAATCTGGAGCGGTCAGGCAGCCTGGGAAGTGCTTCCCTGCTTCAGTTCCTGCCAGGGCTCCTGGGCACACCAGCTGGAGACAACAAAGGAGGTGAGGCTTTACCACAGCAAGTTATGCAATGCATGCCCAGCATCCACAGATATTGGGCCCGGACTCCAGGGTATTTACCAAAATACAATATCATGTGCAGGAAACACATAGCTGTCATTTAGTTAACTAGAATCCTGGGTAAACCTGCTGAGCAGTCTTGTTTGCAGCGCAATACCAACCAGAAAAGTCTCCCTATTAGTTTAATAAAACCTCAGATGTACAGTAAGATGTATTCAGCTTGGAGGAGTTTCATATCCCTGTACAAAAGCTCTTCAGCTTCAAATAGAAGCATCCTCTCTCTTGAAATATGAAGCACCTTGGAATAAAACTGAATGGCGTGACCAAAGCTGTCTACAATGGAACCTGTCTAAACAGCGATGCCTCAGGTTATGAAGGGGAGACAGACAAATCCTTAGAAACTCAATAGTAGTGAAAGGGAAGGTATGAGTCCTCATAGCAGGTGAGAGTCTGAATTGGCAGATCCTGTGAAGAAGTTTTATTGAACAAAAGCATTGCTGTCAGGATGAGTGCTCCTCCCTCTCCTTTAGACACGGAGGCCATCTTGGTGAGGCAAAGATTGACCTAGAAGGAGGTGGTAGGCAATATAAATATTGCAAAACCTCTTAAAAAACATCGACACTTGCGGAAAGGGCAAAATGAATAGTTGGAAGTGATTTTGGGCGCCACAGACATAACAAAGGTCTGTTGCAGAAGACTCCGTACAGCTTGCATACCCAGAGGCGCAGACCCAACGGGAACAAGATGCCACAGCAAGGACGGGCCACATTGCAGCAAAACCACTTTATAGCTGGTCCTCCGAATATTCCAGTTCAAGCCTTCAGCAGGGTTACAGTATTACAGTACATATGAATGACTTGTGTAGGTTCACTGTTTCTAAATGACAAAACCTTTCGTTATGTCTCCTTCTATCAGGTCTTAGCCCCAGCAGCTACAAACCGAGGGAAAATATCAAAGAGGTACGTAAAAGACCAGCTATCGCTCATATAAGACTTTAAGAGCCAATATTTTAAACTGCACGAAAGCATTACCAAGACATCATTTAAGATCCACAGATTTCATAAAGAGTGTAGAATAAAGTGTGCCACAGTGTTCTTGAAGTTGGAATCACTTAATAATAAGGTAAGCAGGAAATAAAATCTAGGAAATCAGTAAGAAGTATAAATTATAAAATTAAAACAAGAAAAATCCAGAGTATTTCATTCTAAAATGCCAAGTTTTTTTCCAGAAAACCTACCTTCTAAATAAAGGCTAACTTCCAGCTTCAGCAGGCCTGGCCAGAACACCAACCAGTATCTGCTGCTTGTCATTTTTCCCCTCTGCCACCTGGGCTACACAATAATATCAGATTTGCTATAAGCAAAAAGGTAAAGGCAGACATATCATTCCTGTTTGCTTGTCTGCTAATTCAAATACAAAGGCAGAAGAGCTGCATTAGCTTTAGTGCATCATCTAGATCAGAGGTGTGCAGAGAGCAGCCTCTCCTTCCCCAGTCAGCTTGTGGGCCCATATGATCAGTTGGGGACAGGGAAGAGCACAAGTTAACCACCCGGCAATAACCTGTCTGATGTTGTTTGACTTTAGATTTTCTACGGAAGTCACCCTCGTATTGCTTTGCTGGGCCGCTTGCTGACCAAGGACAGAAAACAGCATAAGAAACGTGGAAATCTTTCCGAGTGCTTCTGGAAATATTGTGTGTAACCAGGAGAACAAACTCTGCCAGACTTTGGTTGCTTAATTTATACAGATGCCTGAAAATATGTATATAGATTTGCTTGATTTAAAATGAGAATGAAGAAATATGATGACAACTAACTTTACACTCCATGCTACTTGGAACTTAATAAATTTGTGATGTTTTGCAAATATTCTGTGAGCAACATGGTATTCTCTTTGACTTTAGAACAGGAATAAGTAATTGGACAAAAAGATAAATACGCAACATGGAGAGGACTCAGGCAGCGGAAGCAGGATACCCATGGAGTAAAACTTCCAAGAAGAGCGATGCCTCAACAAGCAGTCTCAACTGCATCCAATTCCAGAGGCAAGAGGACTTTCCTCTTTGCCTCCTGGTCACTTGATGTAGGTTGAGGCGCCAGGAAAGAAGGGCACTGTCAAATTCCCTGATGATGCTGAGCCAGCAAGAATGGCAGTTTAACAGCACCCAGTCTCCTCTCCCATCCCCAAGGCACCATGAAAACAATAAGCACATGTCAGGATCAAGCATCTGCTTGCACTACCGCTGGAGAGAGATAACTATTTCTCTTGGTTTGTGTCACTCAAAGAAAGATTAACCGAGTATATTTCTTTGGGGCACTTCGATTAGTCACCAGCTGCCTAAAATAGCAGGATTGCCTATGCATAACATAAGCCTTATGCATTGTATCTGATTATCATCAAGCAGAGCACGGAAAGTACACATTATGGTTTCCAGTATCGGGGTTTTCAGTCCAGATTGTGGACAGCCAAAAAAGGCCTCCCCCCAAAAAAATAACTTACCCCCCTAAAAGCTTCACCCCTACCCTCACACTGCAGCCATGTTCAAACATGCCAAGGAAGATCATAGATCATGCTACTATAGGAGGGGCAGTGACACTGGTTCCTGCACTGGGGAAAATGAGTCTGCTCATTTTCCTGGGTGATGCCTCCTCCTCTCAAATTACTCCTGTAGCGTCTCAACCCAATACACAATTAAAAAAGCAATTGGTTTCACATCTATTTGGTTTGTTTTGTGCCCTGTCCCAAACTATAATCATCAGCATTTGTATGCTCCCCAGCTTCTACAGTCCTTGTCTATTGGTTACAGTGCTCCCACCTGTTCAAAGATTTCATTAGAATAAGTAAGATTTTTCAGGCCGGTAGACAATGTCTGCCTTAGGAGTTAGACAGCAAGGCTGGTACTCCTGATGCTTTTTCCCTCCTCTTTACTTCATCCACCTAGAGTGGAGCTAATATGTTTCAATGCCAGTCTCTGAAGAGCTTCACATACAACCACAGGGGGTTTGGGGAGCCTTGGAATTTGCTGCACAGCATCAAGAAGAGGCATCTCATGGATAACGATTTGGAGAAAGAGCTGTCTCTATCTGATGACAATATATTGGAGCTTTAACTCTGAGAAACAAAGACACTTAGATGATGAGGGGGGAGAACCAACGTGCCCCTACTGAACACTCTTAAACTTCCAGGAGTAGAGCTAAGAATTCCTGGCCACAGATATTTCTGAAAGTACACCTCCTAGCACTTATTTTATTAGGATGCAAACAACTGGTGACTGGCACGTGATCTTCTCTCAGGTAGTATAGACCACGGTCTCTTACCATGAAAGAGCTTAAAAGCTCCAGAGAGATTAGACAATCACAAATATAAAGAACCAAGAAAAATATCTGGAAGCAAAATGACAAGGCAGACATAGAAACAGAAAATAAAGAGTAAAGAAACACTATGTAGCCTGAGTAAGCACAAATGCAAATAAAATAAAGCTTAGACCAATAATAAATTGAGTAAACAACCAAAAAAAATACAGCAAAAATTACTACCGGAGATAAACACATAAAAGACAAGGACACAGGAAACAACCCGGAGAGACAGTACATTGCTCCAATTTATTCATGATGTTAAGAGAAAACAATGTTCATAAGATGATGGAAACAGGTTTATTTAAATTTGAAGAGGTGATAGGGCTGGGGAGGGGAGAGGGATGGACACATGACTTAACAGCAGCCTTCCAATAACCGAGAGGAAGTTATCGAGAAAAAAGAGACAAGGCCCTTTACAGAAGTGCATAGCAAAGAGGTAATAAACACTGGTCATAAATTAAACATGGGAAGTTCCAACTTCATATAAAAGTTTTCCCTGCAAGGACACAAAGCACCGGAACAGGTTTCCTAGAGAGACTAGGGAATGAATCTCTGCTCTCTGTTCTTTCTATAACAAAGAAAAGCATCCTTAAAAGTGCAGAGCAGATGGATGCACTATGCAATCATTCGACACATTCTGAACATTCATCCCCTTCTTAAACAGGGCAGCAAGTCAATGCCTGTTTAGCAATCACTCCTTTCCTGTCACCTCATCAGTCAACAAAAACCTGAGAGAAAAGACTCCAAACCTATCTGAATGAATAGCCATCTAAGACAGATTCATTCCAGAAACAGGAAAGTATACTTACGAAGACTGGAAAAATTGTTTCGACCTCACTTGCAAATCAGAGTGAGCAAGAATAAAGCAAAATAAATAAAACTGCAACGAATAATAATGGAAAAAGTATTAGAAATAGTCAAAGGTTCTTTATCCATCTAAATAAGAGAATAAAGGAATGAAGAGCGATGTCCAGAGATGAAGTCAAGAAAAGGCGACTGAGATATAAACTCACAAATTAAAGTTTCAGCTTTTAATACCTCAAAATACTTGCTAAGAGTTATTGCATCTTAAGAAGTAAAACCTCAGACAACTTACTGTGCACAAGTTAGACTATAGCACTGCAGCAGGGGAAAACTCAGATAATTTTCACCCAGCAGAATTTACGTGGAGCCTGACACTTCCAATCAGTCATTCATAGTCCTTGCCTCTGGTAGGAAAGAGTTCAGCCTGGCTCTTTGGACATGACAGGCAGTTCTCAATGTGAAGACTGTGCTCAAGATACTGTTGCACTCGCAACTGCTTCCTTCTTGGAGGAAGCACTCATGGCAAATGCCAGACAAAATTAGTGCCAGGGCAGCAGGGAGCCTGACCAGCCCTCCACAGAGGAGGGCAAACTCTGCTTTTCCCACCCTGCTACAACAGCTCATGCCGATTTTCAGCTCTGAGATATTGCCTCTCCTCTACAGGCCAGAGATGAAAAGGCTGTCACAGAAGGGCAAAGAAAGATTCCAGGAAGAGACCTGAGGCCAGGCTGATCATCTTCCTCTTGGGCAGGGCAGAGCTCTCAGATCGTGTAGAAAGTAGAACTGCAGCTAGGGAAGTGAGCAGCAAGAATCCTGTGTGTGCCAAGCCAGGCTTGTCTATACAGCTTGTGGCAGTGAGCTGGAGCTTCAAACGGGAGCCAAGCAGGCAGAAACCTATTTGAGCTGCACCTGAACAATAAATATATATCCTAAGAGCAAATGTGTCTGTGGAGCAACACTACTATAGAAACAATGATGTGGTGTGATTCAAAATTTTTGAGAATTATTACTTTTCAGACTGGGGTAGCAGTTATAGGCCTAATGCTTACCTCTCGCCATCTGCCAAAACGTTGGAGAACACCATTCAGCTCACTTCTGACAGCTGCACAAAGGTGAAAGTTGCATGTTTTTAGCTGCAAGCAAGAACTTGGACTGACAAGAGAAAGGCTGTTATTGGCAAACAAGTAACATAGTTGCTCTGATACTACCCAGAACTTAGAGTAAAAATGTAGTGCCACCTTAGCCTTTTCCTTTTCACAAGTCTATTCACTCCTCCTCAGGATATTTGGACCAAAAATACCTAGCAAATTTGGCTTACGTTTTTAAATATGTTCAGAACGACCAAATAACCTTAAAAAAAAACAAATAAACCAGCAGTAAAAACATATTCAGCACTAACTTGGAGATGCCTATTTTTCAAGGAACTGTATCAGTTACGTTGCCAGAAGCAGCTTCAGTTACATAGTTAACTAAGACTGTTTCTTCCTCTTGTAGTTTTAATGAGATGCTACCGCTTTTGTCTTGTATCATCTAGTCCTTGCAGCGACTTCATCCTTCTCCTGCAGGCTTATTAGAGCACTGTGGACCATGCTTTTCTCCAAAGACCCTTAAAGCAAGAAAAGAACAGCAAGTTGTTTCACTGCAATTAACTAAGAATACCACTCCATGAAATATGCCTGTGAATTAAACCTGTGAATTGTTTCTCTGTACTTCCTCCAAGAACTCAAAATTTAACAGGGTGGGGCCAAGGTGCACTCAGCATTTATTTACCTGTTTTCTAACACAACTAACACAGGCAGATATTTTAAATTCTGCATGCCAAGTCCCAACAGTTTACGCATCCAATAATAATCCTTTATGTTTAACAAGTATATGCCCTTCTCTCCAGCATGCAATTAAAAGAAAGGAAATAACATGTCCTGAAGTAAGGTACAGTCAGACAAAAAGTAATATAAATGGCAACTATGCGACCATCTTCACTACAGCCACTACCTCCACACCTGTGTATAATCAGAAGAAGTTTTAAAAGAGTACTTTGTTAAAAGTCTGTTTCCTAGAAATCGCCAAATAATAAAAGTAAACTCACACTTCAAATAGTTCTTCACATCATACTTTCTGGTTTTATTTGTAAAAACAGAACCTCCTTTAAGTTATACAGTAAAAATCAAATCTGTAAATTCAAGCACAGCTGAACATTATTTCAACAAAATAGTCCTATCAACCGATGTCAAAGAGAAAAAAACAACAAATTGAGATTTAAAACTCAGTTCAGCTGAAGAATAAGCTTAGCAACACATTTCTTATTCAGTGAATTTTTAAACCACATGCTGCAGAAATACACTGGGGTCCCTGCTGTTCATAGCAATGCCATGAAAACATCTGCACATCAACTCATTCTTTTTTAAACATAAACATACAGTTATGAATGCAACAACAAAAATTGCCAGCCAAATCCACCAAGCATTTCCAATCTGCTGATACCCCCACAGGGGGTAGTAACTGTACCATTACTGTACTTGTATTTTCCCTTTGATCACTATCAACATCACTAGCCTTAGAACATTAAAAAAGTGACTACCTAAGAAACTCTAAACCATCTACAGCATTTTCATCATGTCAGGCAAAACAAAGTCCCATAAACTAAACTGAAGTATTGCAGCAAACATGGCTGCAATATTTACTCTATTTGTCTTTCAGATCAGAACTGGATCTCGCTTAAGACTACTCTGGCAAACTACAAAGACTGGAAAATTAATATAAGCTCAAGTAAAAACTATCAATTCCTGAAAGCTATGGAAACAAAGTTTTTAACAAGTCCTTCCCAGAAGGCTTGCTAAGGCATTTGATTGCAAGACGCTGCGGTTCCAGAAGGGTAAAGGGTAGCTTGGGAAGCAGGTTTTTGTCCTAAATATGGTTTTGTATTCAAGACTGTGTGTTCTTGGGCAAGTATTTTAGTTTTATATTCACAGAGGGCATTGTTTCACCTCTTTATTCCTCTTATATTCCTCTCCTATACCATCATTTCCTCTTTAACCCAAGCTAGCATAGCCCCAGGCAAGCAATCTTGCACCTAAGATTTAGCCAGGATTATGATCATTGCATTTAAACTCCTAGAAGCGTAAGTCTACATTATATGTGATCACAGGGTATAGTGCTCACAGCACTGTAAACACTGTCTAGGATTTCAGTTGCTATATGATTCTACTGGGTACAGATTCAGAGGAGTACATGGTACAGGAAAGGCTAACATCCCCCAATAAAAAATACATTTAATGTGATTAAGTTTCTATGCGCATGTCAGAATCTCGACCATTTGTAACAAAGACAGAACAGGATACAGTGACTGAAGATCCCTGAATTCTACTCCTGATTTTGGTATGAATTGGGGGTATGCATTTGTGCAAGTCCATTGAGCATCTGTGTCTCTGTATAACAGGGATAGCGATTGTTACTCAGTTTTCTGACACGTTTACCGCTCTATGAATTAAAAAGCACTATTTGAGCATTAAGTACGTATCGTTTCATACTAAGTCCCATTCTTTTATAAAATGGGTGACATGCATGCCTGCTAAGACATCATAAACCATCTCATTTTCTCCTCCCTCAACAAACATACATGGAAATAGCGTACAGCAAAGCACTGATTATTTAAACTTTCCTTCTAGCTAACACTTCTAACTACTTTGAAGATGACAGCCATCCTTACTCTGAACGTCGAAATTAATCTCTTTCATCAAGTCTCAAGATGTATTATAAAGCAGTCATTTTAATTTAAATAGAACTAACTACAATGGATTCAATTGCACCAGTTTAAGTTGGCAGGAAGGAAAGAACATATAAATAAAGCATCTTATTAAGTGTTTCAGAAGAAATTTTTTAGGCAGTGGGGTTATAAAGCAGCATTCCACATTTGGGAAGCATTGAAAAATAATAGGAAAGGAGTAAGATATTGACCAGATTTTCCTACTGGGGTAAACTGCTATAATTAACCACCTATCAAAGGCTTTTATTTTAAAAAGGGTTTAAAATTCAAACACACAAAAGTACTGAGAATATGTGGATCTCTGCTGATTTGCAACACTTAAGGAAAAAAAAACGGGTTCACGCTGAAGTAACTGAAAGCCAAATAAAGAAATGGAACTTAAAGATACAAAGCAGTAAGTACAAAAGGAGGCAACCATACTGTAGAAATCAGAAGAACATTGCCTGAGTCTAGTTAGTCTTGGAAACTTAAGTTCAAGAAAAATAACTTCCCCTAAAATCAGATTTAATACGAAGGATTTTCACTGAATTGATTTAAAAAAAAAAAAAAAAGAAACAAAACCTTTATTTTCCTTCAAGCGTCTGCAGATCAACCACTATTCTTAACTTACTGTTCAACTACTTAAGTTTACTACTAAATGAAACTGAAATAAACTTAAATATTAAGGAACACTTTCATATAAGCAGGAAACAGAAAGGTTAAACAGGATGAAAAGGTGAATAATGTGTTACGTTCCAAAACTGTTTGTTTAGAAGGCTAAGGTGATTAACAATACGAACAGGAAAATCTGCTTTACTACATCCAGCTTTTGAAAAACAAAGTAGAGGCCAGACAAAATTTACCAGGTCCTAGTGAACAGTGTCTTGTTTGAAGAGCACTTTGAAACATCAAGCGTTAAGCTAGAAGCATTAATGCGACATACTGAAAGAGAAAATGACTACTGCTTTCTGATTTTGAAAGCCACTTTATGCATAAACCTGTTTTTTCTCCACGGATTCAAATTGCTGAAGGCTCCAGTATCAAGAAGAGTGAGGTTAAAACTTGTATAGGCAGCCAACAGTGGTAAGACACAGTAAATATGCAGTTGGATATCAAAGTATGTCTCCGTAATATGCGACTTCTCAAGAAAGTAGAAGCAGTTAAGTCCAATCTCCCTTTTTTGGGATCAACGCAATGGAAACAAAAATGGGGAAATTAAAATTTAAGCTCAAAAGGATTTGCAAACCACATGCTTCAATTTTTAAAACCTGTCCTGAGAGACATAGCTTTAAAGGCAAAAGCTATGAAACAATGTGGTACTATATACTTAATACGAAAACACAGGGAGTAACTTTGCTTCTTCTCACCTCAGTTGTTGGGTTTTTTTTTTTTTTTTTGATGAGCACAAACTGGAAAAAGGCATTTTAATAACTTGGCCAATTTTCAGCTGCTCATGAACAAGCCTACTGGATTTTAGAACCAGCTACAGAGATTTTAGAGCCTCAGAGTATTTGGATCTTCAGCTTAGACCTCTGAATGTTGAAGAAACAATAGAGAGCATTATGTGGTAGTATGGATTCAATACTACTAACATCTACTTTACTGGAGCGTACTGTCCTCCGAACTATTAGGGCTGCATCAATGTAGGCTCTTTACAAGTGCATCTTTTCATACTCTTACTTGCCAAGTTTAAAAAAAGAAAGTTTGTATTTTTCTCATCAGCGAGTGATCAAAAGTTACAAACACACCCCATTCTGTGTCAAGTTTGTGAGGTCAGGAAGGGAAACAGCCTCCCAGTCAGTGTCTTCAAAATCAAGCTGAGGGTGGGGTGTAATGAAGAAAGACAGTTTCACACATGCGACTGTTCATGTTGGGAAAAGACATCTGGATACATCCGCTGCTTGTATGTAGCAAGGCCAGAGGAAAAGAGAGCGGAAATTATACCAAACAGTTTTACGGACACAGGTGCTGATGTCTTCAGCATTGCAAGAGCGGAGGCGATTTTCCCTTGTGTTCCATATGGTCATCAGCCATTGCAGCCTCATGACTCACTTCCCTGATGTCACATGTAACACAGCCCTTTAAAAAGGAACAAGAACATAACCGTTTTTAAATTCTCCTTTTATGAGTGTATTTCAAAGAGTCAAATCTTGGTAACGTAATATATTTCAGTCTCTTTAAATCGCTCATCTATCGGCTGAAATCTCTTTAAGAGCAGAGATTCTGCAGATATCTTATTTTTAGAGGCAGGCACTTGCACCTCCAAATCAGCTTATCCCAGAAACACATTCTTTGGTCAGTGACACACGCTTAGCTTTGAGATGAAAAGGTACATGACTTCCTTTAATATGGAGGACTTATCTTTCAGCTTTGCTAGCAAGCTGCTCTTAAAGTAATTTGCACTGCAGTCTGAACAGCAACAATGCTGAACAACAAAACACCACTAAAACATCCGGGTGTATCGACTGACTAGATTTCTCTTGTTCTTGGGCAGCGGCATGATAGAGAAAAGGAGTTATTAAAGTCAGTTCTTTCTGCTGTCAGAAGCCTGGTTGTATTGCACATGACACATTAATGATTTCTGATTCTAAACAGCAGAGGAAACATGGCCTAGTGTATTTAACATTATTCTGTAGAACGTTATTTGTGGGTCAAGAACAGTCTCCTGGCCCTGAGGTGTCAAATATAAATATCTGCATATGCATTTTCATCTGTCTCGTGTAACACTCGAGATGAAAATATTGCAACTCTTCTGAAAGACCAAGGAACACAGTTTTTCTGAGTCAAACACACAGCCCTAAATACAATAGGACACGAAAGAGTTATATCAACAAGACATTAGGAAAGCAAAAACTACTTTTCTGGTCTTGTTCCAGTGCCAACGACATAGATCTCCAACATCTTTCTACCCTAAGAAAAAAAATAACACTGCTCAGAACATCACATTTCAAAAATCTAGCATGCAGAGCATGTCGTGCTATAATAAACATTAGATTTTTCTGCTACATGACTGGATGAAAGCAACCTACTCCTTTGTCTTGAGTTTTTTTGTACAGTTAATCATTGGAGCACTAAGCCTTTGCGGAGCTAGTTCTGCCTTGTTCCTTTCTTCTCCACAGCACCTGGGATTATATGCACTTTAAATTGATTAGGATGCTCAAATCATGAAGATAAGCATCCTAAGTGTTTATGGGACCATCTCTTCCCTAACACATACTAATATAAATCAGGAAAATTTTAGCTGAGCGCCCAAGAGTTATGCCCGATAAAACAAAGATAATAATCGGGCACAAAACCCCAATTGTTAAAGAAAGTATGCACCTAGAAAAAAACCCCAGCTATTTTTGTGTTTATTAATCTGTGCCTGAAGCTCCTCTGTGTTTACAAGTATCTTTCAGTGTACTGAGCACACCTGCTCTAACCTTCACTAACTTCCCACACTGTTGCCTGCTACTCAATCATCTCAACGGTCACCTTTATTTAAAAAAAAAAAAAAAAAAAAGGGCAAAAGACCTAACAGCAACAGATAAAACACTACTGTATATAGACTGTTAAGGTAAGAGCTTGAAACTCTTCCCATTCATCCAACAGTGTGACTGAAGGAACTTTGCTGCAGGTGATGCCGACACAGAACTTGCATATCTTACAAATACAGTGCAAATAGCTGCATTGTGGCATTTTTCATCTGGCCAGCGTTCCCAAGCTCACTTCATTCTTACATTCACTTACAAACAATCATCAGTGACCCCAGCACTGTAAAACTACATGGCTGAGAAACAACTAGTCAAGGCACGAACAAGCCGATTCCTTTCGCAACTCCTTACTTGGGTGTTGATTTGTTGCGGGACAGTCTGGGTCCGTATCCATGTGTGCACCTCTGCCAGCTCCTTCTTTTGCCTATCAGTAAACCAAGGCTGCTGCTTTTGCATGACTATCAGCTTCTCCAGATCCTCCTTTAAAACTTCCTCTTTACTTCTGCAAGTAATGAAGCAAGGCACTGATATAATCACATTGGGAGAGTCCCTTCAACCTGTCTCTAATGTTGGAGTCCAGACAGCATCAGCCATTAAAAAGCAGTTACAGTTTGCCATATCTTATTACTTTGTAAAGCTTCTTTCAACACTGGTCTGACAACTGTAAATTAGAAACCAACCCTTGTTTTTTCATGAATCTCAATTAAAAAAACCTGTAGACAAGTGAAGATCTTTGCAGTTGACCGAAATATTTACATATGACACACTAATTTTTCCATCTTACCTGACATAAGCTATTGTATCTTATTCATGGAGGACTTAGGAAAAATTGAAATTAGTAAAAACTTTCATGTAGCTTTCATACTGCATGAGACTGGGAGGGTTACTTTTCTGGCTTTATTGTCTAGAATTTCTCGAGAGCTCCTTCTTTAAAACAAATAAAGGAGGACAAACAAAAGTGATTTTGCCATCACACAAACATCTTCCAATCAGTGAGACAGGAAAAGATAGCATTTATTATTTACTGACAGAAAGTAACTTCATAACAGCTGCTACAGAATTCTTAGTCCCAGTCATAAATTATAAACAGGTATTCTATTTTGAAACAACAGGAGGTAGTAAGAAGTCTCCCAAAGTTTCTGTGGCATTCTGTGACACTTAGGCATTTCAAATTAAATTATATACAAACTAATTGTACACATACTGCAAATATAACATAAATTTAATTACCCTTTTATGCATTAAAAGTATAGAACAATAATCAATCTCCTTAACACTTCAGCACAAGTTACATGTTAGCTTATTTTAACTGATGAGGAAAATGGGAAAAAACAGACAAAAGGAAATACCATCAAAGCTGTAAGCAGATGTACTGAATTTCTGTTCCTGCCTTTTTAAGTTCTGGGTATTCGCATTGTTTCCATTGTCTCATTTTTAATTCTACAGTTCTTCTATGCACAACTCCAAGCTCCATGTTAGAAACTATTGATGTTTTCTAACCTGTTAGGCATTTGATATGTCATCAGAACCTGCTCAGGTGTGTGATCCATCCTCACCCAGGCTGATTCGTGTTTGGATTTATGAGATGTGCCTTTTTCTTCTGCTTCCTGATTCTTCTCCTCTTTGGAAGCTTCAGAAGAATCATTACTGGCAAAGTACTTGCTGCTTTTCCTGCTACCTGCTGGGAGTTACCATGAAAAAATGAACTCAGATGCCTCAAAGCCCTGAAGTCCAGCATAACAGTAAAGTCACCTGTCAGCTAGTTCTATAATGGGAACACAGGTAACTCCCAAATGAGTGCTCTGGCAAGCAATTACAGCTTACTGAGAATTCAAAGACTAAGTGCAATCTATGAAGTATCTTGAGATCTCCCGAGCCCTGTTTGCTCGCCTCCAAATTAATTGGTTCAACTTCTCTGCTTCTGTTCCAGGAGGCCCTGCTCTAGGCAGATTTAACTTTACTCAAATAAGACGCAAGCCAGTATCTAACGCAGACAAAAAAGCATTAACAAGCAAAATGAAAAAGCGCAACTTACTGGTTAAAGGCGCCTTAAATTCCTGTTTCTGAGTACAAGTCATTGAAGCATGCTCAGCTTCAAACACTGAAGGTTCATGAAAAATAAAAGACTACAGATCCTCCTACTAGGATTTCCCATTCGTATCGCAGTATCTCGTTAAGAATTACCAACGGGCTAGCAAGCCATCTAGCACCAAAGCTGCAAACATCCAAATCCCAAACTTCCCTACCTGTGCCACAACCAGACGTTTCATTGGAACCAGAGCCTAAAGAACTAGATACAGCTGATAAAAAAACTGAACCAGTACCCGACTGGGAGTCTTCATGCAGTAAGAGATCACTGAATTCGCTAGAGGCACAATGGCTACCATTGTCACCACTAGCTTCTGGATCATTGTCCTGGAAACAGAATCAAAACAAACACATCCACAGAAGTTACCCTTATGTTGAAAAAGGAAATTAAGGTGTTCAGCAAATTTGTCATGTCCACTAAGTTTTCATATCAGTTCAGTAGGGTTGGAATTTATAGCTCTGAAAATGAATTGCTATCCAGAACTCAGGACAACACGCTTCATGGGTGAAATAACAAGCCTCTGCACCCTCTTTTACCAGTTTCTGCTGTAGATCTTCCCCACTGGGTTTCTTTCAAAATATTGTACTTTTGCATTAAGTCAAGATTTTCTGCTGACAAGAGAGCAAGAGTCAGTTCCCTTCATATTCTGTTAGACGACATGAGGCAGCCACACACATCAAGCAATGGTGCACTACAGGGAAAATGAAATAATCTTCCCCTGATTCACTATGTGACGCTCACAGCTTCAGCAGCTCTAGGTTCACCACTCCCCCTCAGGACCCTACCCTGCAGATTCAGCTGATCCAGCCTTTCCAGCCCAATCTGGGTTCAGGAGCCAACATTTTTTCCTTGTCTGCAGAGCTCAGATTCCTGCCTCTGAGTTTACCACGGAAGTTGGAGATGCCTTTTCTATGCCCATGTATGGAAACCGACCCACACGGATCCCTGTTCTTCGTTCATTAGCTGCATCCCTGGGAGACAGAGGGAGTAATTAGAAAAAAAAATCTTCCCTTTGTTTTGGTTCTCCACAGAGACTGTGGGAATGGGTGAAAAAAAAGACACGAATTGTGCAGCCCTAAGCAAGTTCCAC